TAATTGAAAAGGATTGAAAGACATCAATTGTGGCCGGGCACAGTGGCTCATGCCTATAATCCCAGTACTTTGGGAGGCCGAGGACGGTGGATCACTTGAGGTCAGGAGTTTGAGACCAGCCTGGCCAATATGGTGAAACCCCTTCTCTACAAAAAAATACAAAAATTAACCAGGCGTGGTGGCGCATGCCTGTAGTCCCAGCTACTTCGGAGGCTGAGGCCAGAGGATCACTGGAACCCGGGAGGAAGAGGTTGCAGTGAGCTGATATGGCACCACTGCACTTGAGCCTGGATGACAGTGTAACGCTCCGTGTCAAACAAACAGAAAGACATCAATTAGAGGGTGGGCTCAGTGGCTCTCGTCTATAATCCCAGCACTTTGGGAAGCAGAGGTGGGCAGATGGCTTCACCTGAGGAGTTTGAGACAAGCCTGGGCTACAGGCAATACCCGGTCTCTACAAATATTAAAAAAAAAAAAAAAAAGATTAGCTAAGCATGGTGGCATGCAATGTAGTCCCAGTGACTCAGGAGGCTGAGGTGAAGGATCACTTGAGTCCGGGAGTTTGAGGCTATAATGAACCCGTGATCGCACCACTGCACTCCAGCCGGGGCAACAGAGTGAGACCTTGTCGCAAAAAAAAAAAAAAAAAAAAAAAAAAAAAAAAAAAAAAAAAAAAAAAAAAAAAAAAAAAAAAAAAGACACCAATTGGGACTATGAATTCTGCGCTTGACAGAATTAAACATATTGAACTCACCCTCCTACCACAAATAACTATAAAACTGAATGAAATATATGAAATTGAGACACTGAAGAATGGACAGCAAAGGCTGTGATCTCTGAAAGGTAAAAAGTATGACAATGATGGCAGAAATTATGTGAGTTTAAATGGAAATACAGTTATAGGGTTCTTTTATTATTTGTGACATGGCAAAATAATTCAAGGTATACCATGAGAAATTAAGGATGCATGTTATAACCTCTAGGACAAACACTAAAAAAAAAGTTAGATCTAAACACCCAATAGAAGAGATAGAACAGAATATATTAAAAATAATCAAGGGGCTGGGCACAGTGGCTCACGCCTGTAATCCCAGCACTTTGGGAGGCCGAGGAGGGCAGATCACTTGAGGTCAAGAGCTCAAGACCAGCCTGGCCAACATGGTGAAACCCCATCTCTACCAAAAAAAATACAAAAAATTAGCCAGGCATGGTGGCGCATGCCTGTAGTCCCAGCTACTTAGGAGGCTGAGGTGGGATAATTGCTTGAACCCGGAAGGCAGAGGTTGCAGTGAACAGAGATCACACCACTGCACTCCAGCCTGGGCGACAAGAGTGAGACAGACCCTGTCTCAAAAAAATAAAATAAAATAAAATAATAAAAGAAAACAGGAGGCCAGGTGTGGTGGCTCACGCCTGTAATCCCAGCACTTTGGGAGGCCAAGGCAGGAGGATCACCTGAGGTCAGGAGTTTGAGATCAGTCTGGCCAACATGGCAAAACCCTGTCTACCAAAAATAAAAAAATTAGCCCAGATGTGGGGGTGAACACCTGTAATTCCAGCTACCAGGAAGGCTGAGGCAGGAGAATCACTTGAATCCAGGTGGCAGAGGTTGCAGTGAACCGAGATCACGCCATTGTCCTCCAGCCTGGGTAACAAGAGTGAAACTCCATCTCAAAAAAAAAAAAAGACAGGAAAAGAGAGGGAAAAACAGATAAACCAATAGAAAACAAATAACAAGATGGTAGACATAAACCCAACAGTATAATTAAACATAAATGACTGCTCTCAAACATAAGAAAAAGAAAATGAATTAAAATTAAAAAAAAAAAGAAAACATAAATGAAATAAACTCCCCAATTAAAAAGTAGACATTGTCAGACTGGATAAAAAAACAAGTCCCTCTTATATACTGTTCGTAAGAGACAGATTAGTCTGACAACACCTTAATTCACAACTTTATCATCACTAAAAGTGAAATAGCCAGATACTATGTGTCTATTGATAGGAAGTCCACAGCACCACCTGTGAAATATTTTCACCAAGAAAACCAACCCTGAATATAATTTAGTCTTAAGAGCTATCAGTTTAAAGTGATAAAAAGGGTAGGGAAATATGTTGAAAAACATCATGAAGATACAATTAATCAAAGGAAGAATGTAGAAAATATTCCAGGACAAATGACCTGGCCTAGTCCACAAATAAATGTATGGGGGAAAAAGGGGAAATGGGAACTATGATAGGTGAAGAGAGTCTTAAGAGACATCAACAAAAAATGGAATGTGTAGACCTTCTTGAGATCCTCATTCAACCCAACTAACTGTAAAAAGCACTTTTGAAATGACTCAAAATAACTGAACAGAGACTGAGAATTAAATGACATTAAAGAATTATCGTTGATCAGGTGCAGTGGTGCATGCCTGTAATTCCAACACTTTGAGAGGCCATGGCAGGAGGACTGCTTGAGGCCAGTTCAAGACACCAGCCAGGGCAACAGAGCAAGACTTCGTCTCTATGAAAAATAAATAAATAAATAGAATAAGAGATACACGTAAAACAATATGTCTGATGCAGCGAGCTGGATGTAGTAGCATGTGCCTGTAGTCCCTATAGATTTGGGTTCATTTCCATGCTAATACAATGGTAGGCAGAATTCTAAAGACACTCATACTCCTCCCCCTGGATTTCCATCCACTGACTATTCATTTAAACACAAATTTAGGAACTGCTACAAAAGGATATTGCAGGTATAATTAAAGCCCCAAGTTGTTTGACCTTACAATCCAGAGATTATCCAGGTGGGCTGACCCAAACAGGCGAGCCCTTTAATAGCAGTTTTCTCTGGCTGGACGCTGAAGAGGAAGTCAGAGAGAATGGAAGCGTAAGGACTCACCACGCCATTACCGGCTTGAAGGTGGCACGCGAGAAGAAATTCCAATGGCTCTGAGGAGCAGAGAGCAACTTCTGGCCGACAGCTAGCAAGGAAATAGAAACCTCAAGCCCACAACCATACAAACTGGATTTTGCTGACAACATGAATCAGCCTGGAAGCGGATTCTTCCCCAGTACTTCCAGTAGGAGCCCAGCTTGGCCAATGCCTTCATTTTGACCTCAGAAGACATTAAGAAGAGGACCCAGGCAAGCCCGTCTAGACTTCTGACTTGCAGGATAGGCAGCTAACAGCTGGGTGCAATGAGATGCACCCATAGTCCCAGGTACTCAGGAGGCTGAAACAGGAGGATCACTTGAGACCAGGAGTTAGAGGTTGTACTGTACTATAATCATGCCTGTGAATAGCCACTGCACTGCACTCCAGCCTGGGTAAGACAGTGAGACCCTGTCTCTTAAAAAAAAAAAAACTATAAGCTAATTTGTTATGTGGCCAAAGAAAACTAAGGCCGATATGAGAAACCTGGCAAAGGGAAACTGTTTAGTCCAGCTGTTCATACTACAATGAATAAAATGTAAATTCACTAAGACTGTTCCTGTGCAGGCAGTGGCTCACACCTGTAATCTCAATACTCTGGGAGGCTGAGGCAGGTGGATCACTTGAACCCAGGAGTTTAAGACCAGCCTGGGCAACATGGCAAAATCCCACCTCTAAAAAAAAAAAAAAGTTCAAAAATTAGCCAGGCATGGTGGTGCGCACCTATAGTCCCAGCTCCTCAGGAGGCTGAGGTGGATGGCTTGAGTCCGGGAGAGAGAGGCTGCAGCGAGTTGTGATCATGCCACTGCACTCCAGCCTGGGTGAGCCAGACCCTGTCTCAAAGATAAAGACTCCTGAATCCAGAGAAGGTTTTAATCATGATGCATTTTCCTCATCAGAAGTCCAAAACATGTATCAAAATTGCCTGATGTAGTGACTACTATCATTTAATACATTTGAGTGCCTTCCACCTTGAATTCCCTTATTATTTATTAACCACACACATGGGGGGCAGTTAGTTAGTACACGTGGTATTGAACAGTCTCACTCCCAGAGCTGGAGTAAAAGTTTCTAGATGATCTATAACTTATTCTTCTTGACATCTCACTAAAAATAACTGATCTGGCATGATCCTTAACATACATTAGGAAAAAACAAAAACAAAAACACCAGATCTGTCAGACTGAAATAAATATTTCTTTTTTTATTTTTTTTTTTGAGACGGAGTTTCGCTCTTGTTGCCCAGGCTGGAGTGCAATGGCGCGATCTCGGCTCACCGCAACCTCCGCCTCCTGGGTTCAGGCAATTCTCCTGCCTCAGCCTCCTGAGTAGCTGGGATTACAGGCACGCACCACCATGCCCAGCTAATTTTTTGTATTTTTAGTAGAGGTGGGGTTTCACCGTGTTGGCCAGGATGGTCTCGATCTCTTGACCTCGTGATCCACCCGCCTCGGCCTCCCAAAGTGCTGGGATTACAGGCTTGAGCCACCGCGCCCGGCCTGATTTTTTGTATTTTTAGTAGAGACGGGGTTTCACCATGTTGACCAGGATGGTCTCGATCTCTTGACCTCGTGATCCACCCGCCTCGGCCTCCCAAAGTGCTGGGATTACAGGCTTGAGCCACCGCGCCCGGCCCTGAAATAAATATTTCTTTTATTTTTTTGAGACAGAGTCTCACACAGTTGCCTAGGCTAGAGCACAGCAGTGCAATCTCGGCTTACTGCCTCCGCCTCCCAGGTTCACATGATTCTGCTGCCTCAGCCTCCCTGGTAGCTCGGATTACAGGCACCCACCACCACAGCTGGCTAATTTTTTCTACTTTTAGTAGAGACTGGGTTTCACTGTGTTGGCCAGGCTGGTCTCAAACTCCTGACCTCGTGATCTGCCTGCCTTGGCCACCCAAAGTACTGGGATTACAGGTATGAGCCACTGTGCCCAGCCAAATATTTCTTATATTGGATTAACCTTGGTTATCCTCAAATGAGCAAGAGTAAGCTTTGAACTACCCCAGGGAACACAGTGAGGTAATGACAGTTCTCTTGAACCACCCTGACCACCAAGACAAAAGCAGCCTTACCTTTGTGTCTGGTACCTGGGCACCAAGGCTGCTGAGTCCCACGATGGAGTAGAAGGCAGATTCCAAATTTGTGAAAGGGCGGTCCAGCGAGGCTTTCAGTCTCTCCACGTCATGCTTGGTGAGGTAGTGAGTGGGCGTCAGTGCCTGGGTGATGGCTATGATTGTCAGGGCCAACAGGATGACAGTGCTTGAACCTTGGGGGGAAATGACTATTCAGTACATTTCACACTCTTCCAAGGTGCTATACACAGTCCCAGTGATGATATGCACCAAGATCTGGGAACCAAATCACATGGGAAAGGGCAAGGGAACCAGGGGGTTTAACCTGAGGAGAAGCCTTGGGGAGCAGGGGAGTCTGCTCTTCAGCTGACGGAAGGACAGTCCTCCTAGCAGCCTCCAGGTATGTAAAGTACAGGCTTATCCTACTATTCCCATTTAAAAGATGTCCATAAGTCCTCTGCCTCTAAGGAAAAGCCCATCCTGAATCCTCACACCTTGCCAGCCTCTCAACCAGATCTCCTCCCTTGTGCTTCCCACCATCTGTTGCTCTCTGGCTTCTTCTCTGTCCTCTGAGAAGCCAGGTTCTTTCCTGCCCAGTATTTTTTCATGCTTTCCCCTACCTCAGCTTTGCTTAATTTTTACTTTCAGAATTCAGCTCAAACATCTCTTCCTCAAGAAGCTCTCCCTTGGCTGGGCACAGTGGCTCACACCTGTAATCCCAGCACTTTGGGATGCCAAGGTGGGTATATCACCTGAGGTCAAGAGTTTGAGACCAGCCTGGCCAACATGATGAAACTCCATCTCTACAAAAAACACAAAAATTAGCCGGGCGTGGTGGTTGGCACCCGTAATCCCAGCTACTCGGGAGGCTGAAGCGGGAGAGTTGCTTAAACCTGGGAGGCGGAAGTTGCAGTGAGCCAAGATCGGCCCATTGCACTCCAGCCTGGGTGACAAAACAAGACCCCATCTCAAAAAAAGAAACAAAAACAAAAAACTCTCCCTAGGATTAGGTCCCAGTACAATAAAGTAGCAAGGAACCCAGGCTCTGGGGCCAAGCTTAAATCACAGCTCTGCTACTTATTAGCAATGTGGCCTTGGCAGTTATCCAACTAGCTGGTACCTCAGTTTCCTCAAGTATAAAGTGGTATCATAACAGTATCTCCCTCAGGGATGATTACATGAGTTAATATAGAAAGACGTGGCCAGGTACAGTGGCTCACAACTGCAACCCCAGCACTTTGGGAGGCGAGGCAGGCGAATCACCTGAAGTCAGGAGTTCGAGGCCAGACTGGCCAACATGATGAAACCCTGTCTCTACTAAAAATACAAAAAAATTAGCTGGGTGTGGTAGTGGGTGCCTGTAATCCCAGCTACTGAGGAGGCTGAGGCAGAAGAATCACCTCAACCTGGGAAACAGAGGCTGCAGTGAGCAGAGATCACGCCACTGCACTCCAGCCTAGGTAACAAGAGCAACACTCCGTCTCAAAAAAAAAAAAAAAAATCTTAGAACAATGACTGGCACATAACAAGTGCTATATCAATGTTAACTACTATTTCTACTACCATTATTACTGTTGTTGTTATATCCACTCATAACAATCAGTACTTCTGTTATGTGGCATTTTCCGTAACTTTAACAGCGTAATGTCTGATTTCTCTGCTAAACGTAAGTTCCAAGAGGATAAAGACGCTTCTTTCGTTCATCCCAAGTCTTGCACACTGCCTGGCGCATAGCAGGTACTGAATAAATGGAAAGAAAAATTAATCCCCATCTATGATACCCCAGGGGACACGAAGCTATAAGAGTGGTACATTTCTGCTTCATTTAAAAAAACAAAACAAAAAACACTTTTGAATGGGCTGCTTCTTGATAAAGTGCATTGTCTGCCACCCAAGTAACAGCAATAACAAACAATCACTGGGCCAACATGAATGGCCCCAGCAGTTCAAGACCAGACTGGGCAACATGGTGAATTCCTGTCTCTATAAAATAGAAAAATTAGCCAGGCATGGTGATTATGAGCCTGTGGTCCCAGCTACTCAGGAGACTGAGGTGGTAGGACTGCTTCAGCCCAGGAGGTTGAGGCTGCAGTGAGCCGTGATTGCGTCACTGCACTCCAGCCTGGATGACACAGCGAGATCCTCTCTCAGAAAGAGAAAAAAAGAAAAAAATCTATCATGTAGCGTATTCATCAAATGTATATTGAATGTTACTATATGCCACACACTACTTTAGGTGTAAAAAATACAACAGGGAACAAAAGAAACAAAACTCCTACCATTCATAGAGCTTGAATTCTAGTGACAAAATAAAGACCTCACATGAAATATGAAATATTATTCATCAGGCCGGGCGCGGTGGCTCAAGCCTGTAATCCCAGCACTTTGGGAGGCCGAGGCGGGTGGATCACGAGGTCAAGAGATCGAGACCATCCTGGTCAACATGGTGAAACCCCATCTCTACTAAAAATACAAAACATTAGCTGGGCATGGTGGTGCGTGCCTGTAATCCCAGCTACTCAGGAGGCTGAGGCAGGAGAATTGCCTGAACCCAGGAGGCGGAGGTTGCGATGAGCCGAGATCACGCCATTTGCACTCCAGCCTGGGTAACATGAGTGAAACTCCATCTCAAAAAAAAAAAAAAAGAAATATCATTCATCACATTAGAAGGTAAAAGTGCTATGGAAAAAAATAAAGCAAAGATGAGATATTTGGGAAGGGCTGCATTTTAAATACAGTAGTCTGTGAAGGCCTAAGAAATAAACATATTGAATATAGACCTGAAGGAGAAGCAAATCATAAAGATATCTAGTAGGAAACTATGCCAAGAAGAAAATCTCAGTGCGGCCAGGTGCGGGGGCTCACGCCTCTAACTGCAGTGTGGAGGCCGAGAAGGAAGGATCATCTGAGGTTAGGAGTTTGAGACCAGTCTGGCCAACATGGTAAAACCCCATCTCTACTAAAAATACAAAAAATTAGCTGGGCACGGTGACTTGCACCTGTAATCCCAGCTACTCAGGATGCTGAGGCACGAGAATCACTTGAACCGGGAAGCAGAGGACAACAGTGAGCTGAGATGGCGCCACTGTACTCTAGCCTGGGGCTCTGTCTCAAAAAAGAAAAGAAAAGCCAAGTGCAAAGATTCTGAATGAGAAGTATGTAAACATACTTCTGAGATCAGCAAAGACAGTACAGCTTGGGTGGAGTAAGCAAAGGGTTAGAAGTAGATGAGGTGACAGAGGTAGCAGAGAACAAATCCAGAGGGCCTTGTATGCCACTGTGGTGGAAGCCACTGGAAAGTTCTAAGTAGAGGAGTGATTTGACTTACAGGCTAATGGGATTACTGTGCTGAGAATAAGCAATACCGTGTCAAGAACAGACCATGCAGGAGCAAGGACAGAGCAGGGGATACCAGCTGGGAGACTACCACCACAATCCAAGCCAGAAGACGATGGCAGTCCAAACCAGGGTGACAGCAGTAAAGGTGATGAGAAGTGATGAGAGTTAGTCTGGCTAGAATTCAAAGTCAAAGCCTAGGCCGGGCACGATGGCTCATGCTTGTAATCCCAGCACTTTGGGAGGCCAAGGCAGGCGGATCACAAGGTGGGAGGATCACAAATTCAGGAGTTCAACACCAGCCTAGCCAAAATGGTAAAACCCCGTCTCTACCAAAAATACAAAAATTAGCTGGGAGTGGTGGTGGGCGCCTATAATCCCAGCTGCTCAGGAGGCTGAGGCAGAAGAATCACTTGAAAGTGAAAGGCGGAGGTTGCAGTGAGCCGAGATAGTGCCACTGCACTCCAGCCTGGGCGAAAGAGCGAAACTCCGTTTCAAAAAGAAAAAAAAGTCAAAGCCTATCAGAACTGCTAATAAATAGAAAGATGCAAAAGAAAGAGGAATCAAGATACTAATGCTGAGCCCCCAATGCCTTGTGTACATGGAGGCACCCTGAAGATCTAGTGAATGGGCCGGGCACGGTGGCTCACGCCTGTAATCCCAGTTCTTTGGGAGGCCAAGGCAGGCAGATCATGAGGTCAAGAGATCGAGACCATCCTGGCCAACATGGTGAAATCCCGTCTCTACTAAAAATACAAAAATTAGCTGGGCGTGGTGGCACGCGCCTGTAGTCCCAGCTACTCGGGAGGCTGAGGCAGGAGAATTGCTTGAACCCGGGAGGCAGAGGTTGCAATGAGCCGAGGTCGCGCCCCTACATTCCAGCCTGGCGCCCGGCGATGGAGCAAGACTCTGTCTCAAAAAAAAAAGATCCAGTGAATGATTGTGACTAGCATTTTCCCACCTAGACCATAAATTCCCCTAAAATAGCACCTGTGTCAGAAGCCTAATCTTCTTACTCCATGTTAATGAAAGCAGTAATTTTTCTGACTAAAAGTTGAGCCCTTAATGTGTTGGGTATGCCCATGCTATGCTGTGCTTTGCACACACCAAATCATTAAATCCTCACAACATACAAGCAAGGTGGCTATTTTCTGCATTTTACAGGGCAGGAAAGTGAGGCACAGAAGTAGTTACCTGCCCTAGGACGCATAACGGAGAATCAAACTTCCGGCAATTTGAATCCAAAGTCTACTTTTAACCACTTTACTATCCTGAACTTCCCAAATAATGAAACGGTGAGCCACTGACTCATTCATGTGTAATATTGGGCAAGTAAGTTCCCTTCTGTGGGATTCCAATTTCTCATCTGTCAAATGATAATGACAACAGCACATGCTTCCAAAGTCGTGATGAGGCTACATGAGATTCCACCCTGCAGAGTCCACTCAGTAACTTCTAATACAGTTAACTTTACTGAGTTCTTACTTAGTGCCATGCACTGTTCTAAACTATGCACGAAGATTATTTCACTTTATAGAGCAACGCAACGAGGCAGATAACGTGGCTAACTTGACTAACTTATTTTACAGATGAGAAACTGACGTGCAGAGGGATTAAGTAACCTGCTTTGGGTCACACAATGAATACGAGTCCGCCCGAAAGTCTGCACCCAGAGCGTAACTTCAGAATATGCTCCAAGCTCACAGAGAGAAGTGAGGGGTTTTCTTTGCCCCTTTCACTGAAGGGGAAACTACAGCCCAAAGAAGGGCGATCTGCCCAAAAGCTCACACGGAATAAGGGGCGGCGCCGGGACCAGAACCTTAGGCCGCCCGGCCCAGGAGCCCGCGCGAGTGAAATTAATGAGGCCAGGCCTACCGGCTAAGCGCGGCCGCGGTACCCCCGGCTGGGCCTCGGGGCGACCCGTAGCTCCGCGCTGCACCCCCTCCCCCAGGCACCAACCCCGACAGGTAACCGGCACTCCCCACCAGCTCGCAGGCCTCCTGCGAACCGTCGACCCGAGAACGCCCCCACCCAAGCCTGTGCCCATGCCCCTGTCCCGCAGAGGAAGAGGATCCCGCCTGGCCGGCTCCCGAGCAGCGGCCAGTAGCTTCCCGCGGGCGACGGCTCTCTCCCCAAAGAGTGCCGGCCGCTGGGCCCTGTCGACGAGCCACGCGCAACTCCTCACCCGGCAGCGCCATTCCTCCGTGCAGGTCCCGCCGGAGTCCAAGCCGCAGGCTGACTTCCGCTTGGGAAAGCGGCTCCAAGAAACCGCTGCAGGGGACGGCAGGAACTCGCAGCAGGCTCTGCGGGACAGGATGAGTTCTAAGCAAGGGTCAGTGTCCGCGGCCCCGCTAAGCCTGGACGCCCAAGCAGCCGAGGCCGGGATCCCAGTCCTCGTGCGCACAGAGCCTCGCAGTTCCCGAGGACAGACCCGTTTTCCCCCCCCCGCGCCCAGGCCCACTTGAAAGCGACCGTCTCGAAACGGTCCTATTCCGGGAGCTACCGGGACGCGATTGGGCCAGGCTTCTGGGCGGGCCCGAGACGGGGCCGCTTCTGATTGGCCGATTTGCTGTCATTCACTTGTGTTTCTTCAGCCCGGCCCATTTTAAAGGAACAAGAAAGGTCTCGTTGGGAGGGGGAGAGCAGTATTAGAAGGGATTTTCTTTGTTTTTTTTTTTTTTTTTAGAAAATCGTGGCAGTTTCTGGCCGGGCGCAGTGGCTCACGGCTGTAATCCCAGCACTTTGGGATGCCAAGGTGGG